GAAATAAAACAAAGAGAGTAAAGCTCGATGAGGCCCGTTAGATTCTGAGGCAGGACAGAGAAGGGTTAAAGGTGGGGGCTGACATGGGAGCAAGAACTATGCAGGAAATGTTCAGGAGGCATAAGTAGGATGGCTTCTAATAGCTCTTCCAGATCTGCGTGATCTCTAGAGGATCACCTCCAGCACCATCCACAGCCAACTGGACAATTTCTCTAGGCCTCTTCCCCTCGAACAGTACAGACTGAATTCAGATAGAGTGCAAGGAGGCTACAAGTAAGTAACTCAACACTAAGTAAGTAATACTTAGTGTTGAGTTAATAAAAGAAGATAATATTGATATCGTTGCCTTTCTTGGGAAATTTAAGCATCTTCAGACACAGACAGCTCCAGGATTAGTGATTGAAACAAACTGACACATTTATAATGTAATGTGACGATGTTTGAAGGATGTTTCTCTTTTAAAATAATTTCAGACATTTAAATACAAAAGGTGATTTTGCAACTATGTTAATGTTCTCTCTTAATTTCCATATAGTACAGTGGCCCACCTTTCACTGTAATATGGTTAGAATGAATTACAGTGAGAGAAACAAAAGCAAACAAACAATGTGAAATATGTCAAATACTTCGAAAGCTTAAAAAAGAATGAACCAGGTTACATTTGTATACTTTAGTTTGATAAGCACAAATTATGGTAATTTTTAATTAATAATCGACCTAAATGAACACAGATAAATCAGGCGTCGCCGTCTCTGCGCTGTGTGGAGCGTGGAAGCGATTTTTAGAGAGTTGTCGGTTATTACAGGAGTTACTGGGTTTCTCTTACCGTGCACGTCTCCATCCTCGGCCATGGCGTTGATCTTCTTGTTGGGCAGGACCTGTACGTGTTTGCCGCTGGTCCGGCTGTAAAGCTGGTAGATCCGGATCAACCTGCGGCTCGTGCGGTCCGTCACTTTGCTCTGTTCGCTTACATGCTGCGTGAAATTAGGCGGGGACTGATTGGTTACCTGTCAGAAATTAGACGGCATTACTTACTTATTTATTTAAAATTTACAAGGTCGGTCGCGCGGCTTCGGGTTGTCGACGGACTGAAGCGCTTTGAAACAGTTCGTTTGTTTTCTCACTTCTTTCTTTCTTTCTTTGGTTTTTTTGTTTGTTTGTGTTTTTGGGCGGTGGTGGGGGGTAACTGTAACAAGTTCCAGAAGAGCGGCTGCCAGATGAAATTAACAGGTTCCAAAAAGACGCTGTGTGATAACAGGTTGTGCATACAGGAGAATGCGCGCCGCAATGCCCAGAAGAAGAAGAAGAAAAGACGTCGTATGATTGAAATAAAAGCTCGACTGCTCATTCATCATGGTGTGAAA